CGTGCTGCGGGAGGCTCATCCCTGCCCCGTCCTGCTCCGCGCGCCGGGGGCCCGTCTCCTTGCTGAGCTGCATCCAGCTCCCCCTCCGGCTGCTGGACGGTGGCCTGAGAATCTGTTGTTATTTTTATTTTCATTTACATTAGCTCAGAGTCAGCCGGGGCCAGCAGGGTGATTTGTGAGACCCGAGAGGCTGGAGACAGGGCCATAAATCTCCCCGAGGCTTGGCCAGCCCAGCAGCCAGGGCTGGGACGGAGCCTCGCCCCAAATCCCTGCTCTCCATCACTTGTGGGAGGCAGCCCCAGGGCAAGAGCAACTGCTTAAAAAAGGCATCAAGTGGAGCAGGCAGGCTCGGGGCCATGCGAGGGTGGGTGTCCCCGGGTGCCCCGGGGCTGCTGCTCCTGCCATGACAATTCAGCCCCTGTCCCCTCGGAGCTGTGCTGCGGGACGTGGTGGTGGCTCAAAGTCCTCGCTGTGCCCCCATGGGTACTGGGGGTTCAGCCCTTGAGACACCAGCACCCTTCCAAGGGGAAGGACCTCAGGGCAAAAAGTCTGCAGGGGTGTCTGGCCCAGAATTGGAAGAACTGGGTATTTTGGGGGGCGCAGGGTGCTCCGTGCAGCCCCAAAGGAGAGACAGCAGCTCCCAGGGCTCCACGCGAGCGAGCAGCTGTGGGGAGCAGTGGTGCCTGACCCTGCTTGTAGCACAGGTCACAGAATGATGTGGGTTGGAAGGGACCTTTGAAGACCACCTAGTCCAACCCCTGAACACTTTGGAAAGGGGGAAGATCTTGCAAGGGGGTCATGGTGGGACCCCCAGGTCGCTCCCACCCGGCTCACCATCACTCTGGCTCAGCAGGGGGATCACCCCCTCTTCCCAACCCCACCGAGGTCCCAAGGACGCTCCGTTGGGAAGGGATTTGCACTGGCCCAGGCTGGTGTTACTGGGAGCAGTGTTGGCTGCCCAGGAAGCCCCAGGGCTCCAGCAAACCCTGCCCAGCTCCTGGGGGTGGGCAACCAGCAGAGACGATTGCTCAGAGCGTGACTGCCTAAGGAAACGTGGCTTAAGCAACCAGCTAGAGCAGGACAGGCAGCAGGAGGGAGCAAAAGGAGAACCAGCCTGGGGGTGACAGCCAGGGGCTTGGCATGAAGCTGCTGTAATTCCAGAGTTTCTGCTCTTTTGGTGGGGCCTGGC